TTTTCAATATACTACAAAAATTAACAAAAAGATTTTATAATTAAAATAGTACAAAAATATAATGTCTAGGTAATTAATATCCAGCAATTTAATAGCACATCAAAACACGTAGAAAAATTACCAGCATGCAAAACAGAAAGTCAAAGTGAAACAGGAAAAAACCCAACAAGAAAATGATTATTTCTAAAAATCTAATCAAAAATAAGCCTGTGTACAAAATTTATAAATGCTTCCTTGAAAAGAACACAAAAAACATTTAACAAATAAAGAAAGAACAACACCTCACTCTAATTGGAAAGTGCCAATCTGTACAGAGAAACAATTGGTTTCCTTAAAAACTAGCACTTGAGATGAAAGTCACACATGTTCAATAAGTCTACACACCCCTTATTATTATAATTCTAAACCTTTGGCTACAGTCAAAATTTGTGTCTTTTTAACAAGACAATTATAAATCACAGATGTACCTGAATAAGAACTACCTATTCTATTTACACTGCCCTGCTTTCCATCTGGTTTAATTCGTCACTAATTTTACAGGCATCAAAATGCGGTGGTTAGGGCAGCAGGTGCAAGATTACTGGCCCGTCTTGTTGAGAAGCTAGGAGTGGAGAGGATAATGTCACAACCAAGAGAAACACGAGACCTCCTGCTGTTGACAAGTGCTCGTCTGCTGATGGAGGGCAGTCTGGAGACTCGATCTTACACCAAGTCTTCACTAAAGAATCTTGCCCAGGATCACAGATTAAGCTCCATCCTGGTTGAAATAGTGCCATCAAATGTTATGAGAAGTATTGATAAGACCCTAAAAAGTTGTATTTTAAGGAAGTGATACTGTACAAAACTTTCTATTTATTTTTGAATAGTGATTTCTTTCCAGTTATAATGTCCCGGATTCAGGCGTTTGGGTGGGCCTTATGGCCCTGTGTGGGTATGCAACTCATCAGCACGCCTGAATCCTGTACACTATAGCCAGACAAAATAGCAAAAATCACTGTTCCTGTATATTATTTCAAATTGTGAATATATTGCGAGATAGAGGATAGAGTTCTTAATAATTGTTAAATCAGCATTAAAATCTGCTGGATATGTAAAATTTTATCACCTTCTGATAGTAAAATGTATGTGTATCTGTGATTCAAAAACATGAAAAGAAAAATTTTGATTGATTATGATTATGAGATAGATTAATGCTAACAATGAAGTTGTGTCTTAGGTACAACTGTTAAAAGTGTGTGTCAACAAATAAAAAATATCAAAATAATTATTTAAACCAAATTTCAAATGATACTATTAATATGACTCAGTCCTCTTGAGTGGTCTAATACACCCTGTATCAAACAAGTACAGTACGTAACTAGAGGCTGATACTATATCAAATGTAAATTTCCCCCAATGACACCCTAATAATGAACAATAAAAGAAAGTTAAGTAACAAGCATTGTCATTTACCTCACAAAGTCAATCACATCAATTGAGGCCCAGGCACATCATAGAAAAGTGAAGCCAATGGATATCTGATGGCAAAGGCAAGTACACTGCACATCACCTGAAGAGAATGAAAAAACAAGCATGTATCAGTACTGAATTTCAGCATTAAAGTCCGAATCCGAATCAAAGAAAAAATATTTAACCTGAATGGTGATTAACACAGTTGTCAACTTGGCTTCATTCATTGGGCCCAGAAGAATGAGAAGTAAGTTAATAAGAGTGAGATTGTTGCACTCAACCATTCTATCATCAGGGTCACCTCTTCCACAGCTGTCTGGATGAGGGGTAACAGTGTCTCTCCAACGAACCAAGCCCAGCTTACCCAGAGACCGAAGTGCCAAAAGCATTGGCCTTTTGAGGTCAGATTGTTTAAATAGAGTTACACTTGGTTCCAATTTGTTGGTGGCTAGATTTAGTCTGCACCATACCAACAAGAAAATGAAGAATCAGAAAAGGAAGATTACGATACCATCAAGAAAACAAGAATCAAAAATTACCTTGGCATTCGGTGACGAGGACACGGTACCAAGTGGAAAAGTTGGGGAACGGAATAGAGAAAGTTAAAAACTTGAGGTATGAAGAAGAGCAACATTGTTTTGCTAAAATGTCCAAGTATGCCCACAACAGCAAAGGTCATACCAGAAAAGTAGCAAAACGTGTCTCCAACAAATACACGTGAGGGATACCTAGGTCATGGAAAGTTTGGAAATTACTTAAAGGCATGAAGTAACAACTAGAAAAATGTGTAACATAAAAAGGCATGCATTTCTTACCAATTATACTTCAATAACCCAAGAGATGTTGCAATGTATGGAAACAAGAAGTAAAGAGAGAATACATGGGCTTGCCATAAAGCCCCACTCAATTCAATAACATTGAATAAGGCTATTGATGATGCTATGACTACTGACTGGCCAACTTCTAACCCATTTACGCCTGCAAGGATGTTGATTGCATTTGTGCAAAAAACAGCGAGCATTCCCATGTAGATATAATACAGCGGACCTATCAAAACAATTGATTGTCAAAAATGGTCAATACGCCTCAGAAGAGATAAGTAATGCTTCATTCAAATAGAACTCACCAAGATTAAGGGAAAACCCAAGCCATGATCTCATTGGTTTTGGTACAATTATGGTGGTAGCATTAAAAGTGACGTAATAAACCATCAAGAGGGGCAGGGAAGCAATAGTAGGCAAGAGTAGTTTATGTCGCCATCTTAAATCAAGCACATCATCAGCAAATCCAAGTAGTAGCATACAGCAAATGGACAGGAGGGCTGCCATAAGTTTCACCAGCTAAAAAAACAAAATAAAAAACAATTAAAGAAAATAAAAAATTGTCGCTTTTTGGTGTTATATAACTAATTGGTCCTCACCTCATCATGTGGAAAGTCATTGTTTGTGAAAAGAGAATGGCTGAAAGGTAATGGTATGAACAAAAACATAGTCACAAGGAAAATGGAGCCTGTGACAACACCTAGGGCTTCTGGCCTGAAATCAAAGAGGGAAATTTTAAAACCTCGGAGTAATTATATGAGAAGCATAATGAAGAAAACTAGTTGACATTCTAAATGGCAAGACTCCATTGAGTAACAATTCTAAAATTAATTCAAGGTATACAGAAGCATTTTCATAGTATGAAGACAGCAGTGGAGCTAAACGCGGTGTCCACTTACACCTTAGGAAAATCTTCAACTTACACTTTATCCTTCGTTTGCTTGTTGAGGTCAATGCCGAACAAGTTAGCCTTTAAAAACATGTCTTTCAGACGCGGGATGATTCGTACCGTAAAGTAGTATGCCCCAAAGGACATGGCCACATTAAGAAAAAGAGGCAGAAACATTTTAAAAATTAAGCTGAACATTCTCTCGATTGTATAGACGGGCTGACGTGGTTAAGACTAAAATTCGTCTTCTTTCCTGACCCTATCCTGACACCTTCAACCGTCGACGTGATCAACTGACACGCAAGCAGAATCATTGCAATCCTAACAACTCAGAGCGACTGTTTTCAGTTTTTCGATAGACTTGAAAACACGCCGACTTCTGAGTTTTTATCAGGAAATCAGCCAGCAGCACCAGCAGACAGCTAAACACGAGTGTCAATACGTTGCATAGTGTGAACAAAAGTGTGCGGCATTATATGCACCGCACTCCTCTAACAAGTTGCTTGTTGTTGCTGAATCTTGTGTCAAATTCTGTTGAATGCCTCCAAAGTTGCAACAATCATGTAAGAAATAATTCTGTCTTTTCTACAGACAGTTTGTCATAATACACTGTTTTATTAGGTATATGGAGTATTTTTTCTGAAAGTCCCTAACCTCATGACTTATGCACTCTATGTCAAATTTGTGATGTTTAGGAGTAGTCATTTTGTTGTCATATGTCTGAGAGTAAATTTATTATTTGTGTGTCGAATTATGGTTCTTACTGTGATGAAAAAACAGACACCTTAGCTTATCATATGTATTTGAGTTTTTTATGTGAATTTCCTTAGTGTTGTCCCTTTGCACACGACTGCACATCACCTGCATTCCTTTTGATTTCCAGCATGACAGCACCCGCAGGCATCAGCCCAGAAATAGAAGCAGTATTAGAAAATGGTTTGAACAAAACTGCTCTGACCTGCCTGCATTGTCCCTCCCGAATACTTAATCCATCAGTTGGTACTTTTGTTCAACAAGAAGTATGTATTACTCATGAGTGGCCCATAAGTATGGCCATACTTTAGTGACGAATTTATATTTTTGTTGTCTCATTTATGTTTTCTTTTCAGTTTGCCCTGCCAGCCATGACTAAACAGAAGAACCAAATTATAGATGAGAAGCATGAATTAAGAGAGTTCTGGAAAGTTAAGGACATGTTCCAGTTTGAAAATGTAGGTTTTTCAAACACTGTTGATGGAGTTAAGTATCTCACATGCGCTGATTGCGAAATGGGCCCCATAGGTTGGCATGATCTTGTGACTAAAGAGAATTTTATAGCTGTTTCACGTGTGCGTAATTCATGATTCACTCACACTCAATGATTATTTGAAGACTTTCCATACTTTGTCTTATTAAGTCATAAGAAAAATCTTGTGTTCACAAAATACAAAACTCAGATTGAAACTCAAAAAACTACTTTATTAAATTTTTTAACAGAAAGAGAGGAGGCATATTATTTTTTGGGATGTAGAGGCTTCTGTCGCAGTAGTCTTGTGGCTTCCAGCTTCGTGAGATCTCTGACTCTTTTTACATCACTTAGTTTTCTATTTTTTGTATCAGCAAGTTGCTGGGACTGAATGAAAAGTATACATAATTTTTTAAAGAAGTACAGATTAAAAGAACCCATAAAACTAAAATGATGAAATGAATTAAGTAAACTTACTTTATGATCCTCAATGCAAGCATAATAGGCCTTGAGAGATTCTGCACATCTTTTCTGATTAAAATCAGAGTCTTTGAAGCATTGGAGGAGGACTGTTAGTTGAGGAATACATGGCCTTGCTGAAGGAAAACATAAAAAGTTATAAAAAGTGGTAGGCGGCCCAAAGGATTACAATATGACAGAGACGCCATTTACCAGAATCAGATGTCTGTTGAGCCTCGTATCTATCTTTAAGGGATAGAGGATATAGATCTTGAAATGGAATGAATGCATATGAGTGTTCATACTGCTTACGGGTTGGGTACCTTTTGTTCAAAACCTGTGTAACCCTCATGATACCTGAAAATATAACCAATTGGTTCATCAAAAGTAACAAACAAAACAATTTCAAACGGTAAATCCAAACATACGTTCGACAATGCTGCTGGTAATAAAATCTTTGTCAACATGACTCACCTTAAATAATATCCAATTTGTGTTGTGGGAAATGAAATACAACACAAGACAATCAATAACTACAGGTTATGGTACTCCCTCCTCCCCCACCTCCCGTTCTGCTGTTCGTAGTGCGAATAGAGCCTGTCACTGTCGGTGAAACTACCCGTAACGTTCTGTTTTTGATGCGGTGGACGCGGGAGTTCCCCGCGGACCCGCGGGAGTAGACGAGACGAGCAGTTCCGCAAGAGTTGCAAGTATCCGTATCTAGCGTAAAGTACAGGGTGTCGATGTACACAGCCACGGACTGGGGGTATTCCATGGGGTATTCCCTGTATTCCCAGTCAGGAAACTGAGGCCCCGTGTGCTTTCTTTGATACTGAGCTTTAGAAACCGCATTCGGACGTATAGTGGGTTGCCTACTCGCTCGGCCCCTTAAGACCAAGACACCACGACAAATACGATTCGGCTCCAAACGTCGTGTACACCCAGGCTGGTGCATATTTCTGAAAAGTCGCCAAATGTAATTATTATTTGGAGCAAATCGCCAATAATAGTAGTTTATTATCCTGATCATTTCACTATTGTCATATGGCACTTCCCTGGCGTTGCCGCCTGGAGCCACACAACGATGCACGGGACGGGGAGTATCCCCAAAGGATCACATCCTGGACAAGCGAGGCGGGATTGCCTACCCCAGGAAAGAATCACATCCCGCGACCACGATATGTCGGTGAGTGTGCCGTAATTATTGCTCTCCCCCTTGGCCGTGCCCAGCCGTGCCGCGTCCCCTACCCCTCTCCTCCTCCTCCTCCCCCACCGCGCATTTCCCGCGCCTTTCTGGAAACGTAAACAAACAGTGAAGATCGGTGTGGATCGGCGTTTCTGCAAAGTACCGATAATACCTACTCATATAATTGATGATCATAGGATTTTAACCAGAATTTTAGAGTGGACATCGCCGCTTTTCGATATTAATTGTAAGGTATAGTGCTTGATTGTTTCCGGTCCGGAATCTGGAATTGTTCCATTCCGGTTATTGTTGTAGGAGGTTAGTGTT